TTTAATGTTACTCTCCATATTGTTCAAGCTGAAAATAAATAACCAAGCTCGATACCACTTGTTAGGCAAAGAAACATAAACAACGAAGCGGAACCCCTTTGCCCTTGCTTGAACAATTAACCACATGCTACAACCAAATACCCAAACCAAAAAAATAACTAATAATCTAAAAAATAAGCAACCAATCACAATCACATAAAGCACACATAAATTTTTATGTGGAAAACCTCCTCGATTTGAGAAGGAAAAAACCACGGGACCGGAGTCCACTATAACTTCCATTATCAACAATAATGGGTACAAGAAGTCCTCTCTAGATTAAACTAGATGAATAATCAGCCACAAACATCAAAGGTTACACACCCTTGGCAAACCACATCAAAAGATGATACACAAAGAAAGTAGAATAAACCAAGTTCATATTTCACCGTAAAATAGCACCATTACGAGCATAATATCTCCCTCTATAGAACTCAAAACTAGATCTCTATCGTCCAGAATGTGCGTCCGCCTCTCCTGAACGTGCCCACCAAATTTGAGCTCGATCCAACGAGTTAACGAACCCGAAACTCAATTTTAGCATGATCGATTTGTCTTGAAGCTCTTTTTTTCTTTCTCTCAAAAGTTGCGGCTCTCAATCCTTTTCTCTTTTTTTTTTCTCTCTTTCTTCTTCTCTAATCTGATTTCAGAATAAAAGAGAAGATATGGTTTATTTGAAAATACCAAAATTACTCTTTAAGTGATTAAAAAATCCTTTTCTACATGGGCTCCAAAAGGCTCCAAAATTGGACTCATGTAGGCAAACCTTTGGGTCATGCTCCAGCTAGGAGGGAAACCCAACACTATTAACTTTCCCTATTTTTAATTTGATCAACATAATTCCAAAGGTACATGATAAAAGATAGAATATGTAAATTTAGAGTTAAATTAAAATAAGAATGGATCGGAATGAAAGGGAGGCACATAGATAAACATTGAGTAACGGAGGACTAAATTGAAATAACAACAATTACACAAATAAGGAGAGGGTGCAAAAGTGGCGTGTGTGCGTAGCAACAAAAATGTTAAAATAAGTCCAACGATCATTATCGGTAACCACATTAACATTAGTAAAGGTATTTATTTTTATAATTGCTATATTAGTTACCATGGAGGCCACGTGTACTTCGGTTGACAAATATCCATAGGCATCATTTGTTTCACATTTTCGGTTACAACTAAAGATTTAAAGTGGCAAAAGGATAACTTATCAAAAAGAAAATAAATAAGCGAGTTAAAACAACCAAACAATTAAAGGAAAAAAATAAAGGACAAAAAAAATACAAAATTGCAAGAAACTAAAGACCAAAAAAAGTAAATTATAGATAGAAAAAAAGAGAGATACAAATAAATCGATAAAGAAGTGAATCATTGGATGAAAATAAATAAATAATGCATTAATGGATCAAAATTTAAGGTAAATGAGTCAATTTATCCTCATATAAAAACTTGAATCTCCAATCTATTTTTACATTTTTAATTACATTAATTGTGTCTACTAATATTCTTATAGTCTCTAATCCGTTATTATGATCAATTTTTTCAATTATAAATAAATTTTTTAATCGAAATACCTCTAATTAAAATTTAAAAAAATTACTTAAAGTTATTTGACCTACATGTTTTATTTTTGAAGTTCTTAGTTTTTTTTTTTTTTTTTCAATCAAAAGCATTTTGGTTAAAAAAATTTTCATTGTTAGAAAAATTGATCAAAATGGTAGATTGAAAACTTAAACATTATTAAGAAACATAATAGATATAATTAGAATCATTTTTGAAATAGAATGAAAACTTTTGAAGTTATTGAGAAACTTAATAATCTTTATTGTTTTATATGTAGTTGACATATTAGACAATAATATTATTATATCATAATTTATAAAAAAATTTGGCTACTCAAAAATTTATCCATGAGAGACAGCTTACATTCTAGATAGGAGTTGATGTTTTTGATCGAAATACCATGTTGTAATTTAACTTTTGAAGTTACAAACCGTGCCTCTTGTTAACTGCGAAATACGATCGTGAAGGCCTGCCTCTTGACTTCGATAGGAGTATATATAGGAGTTGGGATGTTTGTGATTGGTGAAAATGGGCCGTGGCTACTGAATTGGCCAATCAAAAAATTCTTTGGTTTTTTTATTTATTATTATTTTTTTTGGTGTTTTATTAAACTTGCGATGGCAGGAAACATTTCACCATTCACTTTCTTTACGTGTTTCAAAATCCCAACTTTAGTCCTCAACTATGGATATAAGGCTTAAATTGGTCCAGAACAATGCAATTTTTCCAGATCAGTCAAAATTCAATAAGGTTGCTTCAAGCTTTAAATTAATTGCTAGAAATATTATTTTAAACTAACTTGGACAAAAGGGGTATCTATAGTACTCAATTAAAAAAAAAAGAAAAAACCATCAAGCACATATATTAATTTATAACTTTTTAAATCATTTCTAACCTGACCTAATTTTTATGGCATGTTGCAGATAAAGAACAAGTTATTTAATATCGATTATTTTAAACTTAAGTATTTAAATAGAGCAAATAAATATTGAGATATTCAAATAGAAATGTAATAAAAATAAAGACACTAAAATTGATGGTATCTTCTGTTCTGTTCATAAATCATAACAAGAAAGATGGGAAAAAATCTCATTAAAAAATTGAGAAAATAAAAGGTGGAGTCAGTCATCAAACTCAGGCGGATGTGAAAGGCAAACAGCACAAAGTGCAAAATAGCGTGCTGCATTGCAGAATGGCTTAGGACTGAGACCAGGGATAGCATCCGGAGCCCTTTAAAGGTAATAAAACGAAAAGATGTGGGCAATTAAGGAAAAGCAGAACTCTTTTTATTTTTATTTTTTCCTTTTTTCAGTCACAGGTTCACAGCCGGTCTAATGCGTTCACAGTCCGTAAATGGAGAGTAAAAAAAAAAAAAAAAAATTCATTACCAGAAGTTCAACCAAAACGAACATAACTGTGGTAAAAAAAATTATCATTGATCTGAGCGCTCCCTGCTTCATTCAAGGAAATTAGGACCACTTCTCAACTGGAACAGGTCATGAAAAAGCTGGGCCAATTTTTTTTTCTTAATTTTTATTTATAGTAAAAATTAGGTTGTCCTCAATTAATGCTAAAGCTTGGTTGTTCTTGGTCAAGGATGGTCTCATAAGTCATTTAGAAGATGTTGGAGTTGATTATGACTTATTCCCTTTGTTTTTAATGAAAGTAATTAACTCATTTTTATGGTTTTACGAACTATATATTTGGCCTCTAAATTTTCAAAATATGTTTATAATTCACTAATGTCCTATCGTTAATTTCATATCATTTTTCAATTATTTTTCCTAAAAAACAGAAGAAATAAAAGAGAAATATAAAAAAATGAAAAAAATCTGGCAAAAAAATAAAATTTTGAAACAAAAAATTAATAAATCTAGGATCATCTATTGATATTTATTGATTTTTGAAACTGCAAAGATTAAATAACTATTTTTATGAACTATAGAATTAAACTATAATTAATCAAAGATCTTGATACCATGCAAGTCTAGCTTAATGGGAAAATGCTATGAGATGATGTAGCAAGGTACAATGTTTCGTCAAATTTGGTTAGAATGAGTTTTATTTAATAATCGAGTTATTTCCACAATCATTTCTCTTTTAAAAATTTTATGCTTGGACTTGAAATTAAATATTTATTATTTCCTGAAATGAAATATGGGGTGAAAAGAATTGGAGTATAAGAAAAAAGTCAAGGCAAGAAAAATTATCTTTCTTCTGTTGTCAATCGAAATGAGGAGCTTGAAGATAGGATTTATAACGTTGCAAAACATCCTCTACTGTTGCGTAGAGGAAAATTACCAAAGAGGCAATGAACTATATTCTTTACTTTCTCTAATTAAAATAGATCTTAATCTCCTTCTTTTTTTTTTTTGAAAAAAAGAAAAAGAAAAAGAAAAACTAGATATCCCAAAAAAGATAAAAAATTATATTAGGCTTGGAGAAAAAAATTTCTATTGGGAATAACACTTTCTCTCCATTCTTTTTTTCCCACTTTTTCCCTCCATCTTCAAAATTGGATAAAGCATTCAAGTAGAACACATAAAGGTAAACAAATTTATATGTATATTTTCTTAAGAAGGAAATAAATTTACATATATGACTCCATATGCAAAAGGGCTAAACCTGAAACAAAAACAATTGTGCAGTCGTATGATTTTTGAGAATGACTACTAACCCTAGGTAAAATTGGTCATGGAGTGCTCTCTGTTATGTTAAAACATGGTATGATTAATTTACTCCAGTAAAGAGTGTACAGTATCACTGTTGTGGAGGGTGACAGAAGCCCCGTACAAGATTAAAGTGCAAAAAATAGGGGAAAAAAATAATAGAAAGAGAATGAGATAGGGACTAGAGAGAGACAGAGAGAGGAGGGGAGAGGGACACTTTATTGCCTTTTTTATGATGCACGCATCCATGGCAGAACGCAGAATGATGGTACATTAGTACTGTTAAGACAGATGAGATAGAAGAAGTGAAGAACCAAAGAGTAATTAACCACAACCACAACCACACAACAAGAACTACACAGAGAGAAAAGGAGAGAGGTAGATTAATATGGAGTTGAAGAAAGGAGAAAATTAGATAAAAATCATGGAGCTCATCAAGAGAAAGAGAAAGAACTGGTGGGTGGTCAAGAACTAGTGCAAAAATATTTTTTTTTCTTTTTTAATGGGTGAGTTAAAGAAGAGAGATTCATGGCATGCAATGAGATATGATATTGGGTTCAAAAAATCTTAGTTAAAGAACAAGAAAGTTCCTTTCTTTTTTCAAATCTGAGTGTTAGCCCACTGGAGAGCCAACGTCATTAATCATCCTTCACTGCACCTCTACAAATCTCGGGACTTCTCTTGATCTTTCTTCTAATTCTTTTGGCTTGTTGGTATTTTATAAGAGGGATGCCCTTTCATTTGCAGGCCAAGGGGGATGTAGATATTGCTGGTTTTGCTTCAATTTATTCTCAACAAGAAACTTGGACGCACAGGCAACAACAACAACAACAGCTTCTTGAAGTTAATAGCTTTGCAAGCAAAGAACCTACCTCAATTCTTCATATGAGAAGAAGTCCAAGCCCACCCACATCAGTTTCGACTCTCTCCTCCTCCTCAAACGGCGGCGCCGGTGGAAACACCACCGAGAAGACCACCACCATCACGGCAACAGATAAAGCAGTGAACCCAGTGAGCAATGAAAGGAAGGATGAATGGGCTACAGAGCTGCAGCCAATCCCGAGCGGACTAGAGTTTGTTTCATCAGGAGAAAGATGTGGACTTGGACTAGAAGATTGGGAGAATATGCTTTCAGAGCCGAGCCAAGAACAGTCCTTGTTGAGGTGGATAGCTGGGGATGTGGATGACTCACAGTTTGGGCTAAAGCAGTTGTTGCAGAGTGGAAACAATCAGCTGGAATTTGATGGCAATGCTGGTGCTGGTGTCGGTGGTGTTGGATTGGGGATTGTTGATCAAGGACCTGGGTTTGAGTCTTTAAGTGGAATTCCAGGTGGGTTGTCAAGCATTGGTACTAATCTGGCTCCTTTTCCTGGTCCGGGGGTTTCAAATGTTGGGTCTGGTTTAGTTGCTCCCAGTTCTTCTTCTGGGTTGTTTAATTACAAAAATGTTGGATTTGGAAACAACGACAACTCTAGTGTGCAAAGCCCAGTTTTTAGTTCTCCAACTAACAGTGTTTCACTTCCAGTTTCTTTGCCTCCTGGTATGGTTTATCATCGCAATCAGCATCAACAAGTTGAGGCCCCAGAGGAGAAGCCACAGATACTGAATCCACAGGTGATGATGAACCAGCATCAGTCTCATAATCCACACACTCAAAATCCCAACTTTTTCTTGCCATTACCATTTGCTCAGCAAGAAAATCGCCCCCTCCATTCCCAACTCAAGCGCCACAATTCTGGTGGTGTAGACCCAATCTCTCATGTAATCCCTAAACTACCATTCTCTGATCCTGGACAAGATTTTTTACTAAGAAAACACCAACAACAGCAACTGGGGTTTCCACAGGGAGTTCCGTTTCTTCACCATCAACTTCAACAGAAGCCGTTAATGGTGAAGAAGGAAGATTTACATCACCAACAACAGCAACAGTACCAGCATGCTTTGTTGGACCAGCTCTACAAGGCAGCAGAGTTGGTAGGGACTGGGAATTTCTCACACGCGCAAGGGATATTGGCGCGGCTCAATCAACAGCTCTCCCCAGTTGGAAAGCCTCTCCATAGGGCAGCTTTCTACTTCAAGGAGGCTCTTCAATTGCTCCTCCTCATGAACAATGACCCAGTCACTGCCCCACAGCCTAGGAGTCCCACCCCATTTGATGTCATCTTCAAAATGAGTGCTTACAAAGTCTTATCTGAGGTTTCTCCTCTTATCCAATTTGTCAACTTCACTTGCAATCAGGCCCTCCTCGAAGCAGTTGATGATGCAGATAGGATTCACATAGTGGACTTTGATATTGGATTTGGTGCTCAATGGGCCTCTTTCATGCAGGAACTTCCACGGAATAGAGGTGCCCGATCGCTGAAAACCACTGCCTTTGCCTCTCCTTCGACTCACCATCCTGTTGAACTTGGTCTTATGCGCGATAACTTAACTCAATTTGCTAAAGAGATTGGTCTAAGTTTTGAACTTGATGTGATTAACTTTGATTCTTTGGAGCAGAACTGTTATTCTCTTCCCTTTTTCCGAACAAATGAAAATGAGGCTGTTGTGGTGAATTTCCCTATTTGGTCCGCTTCAAATCAACCATCTGCATTACCGTCACTGCTGCGCTTTATAAAGCAACTTTCACCAAAGATTGTGGTGTCTTTGGACAGAGGGTGTGACAGAAGTGACCTTCCGTTCCCACAACATATCCTCCATGCTCTCCAATCCTATATACACCTATTGGAATCATTGGATGCTGTTAATGCAACCACGGATGCTGTGAACAGGATTGAGAGGTTTTTGCTCCAGCCTAGGATTGAAAGTACTGTGTTGGGGCGTCTTCATGCGCCAGACAAAATGCCAAATTGGAAGACAATCTTTGCATCTGCTGGGTTTTCTCCTGTGTCTTTCAGTAACTTCACCGAAACTCAGGCAGAATGCGTGGTGAAGAGGACTCCAGTGAGGGGATTTCATGTGGAGAAGCGGCAGGCCTTGCTTGTGCTTTGTTGGCAGCGTAGAGAGCTTATGTCAGCTTCAGCATGGAGATGCTGAGCAGTAACAATTTGACAAGCAGGGAGGTTGGTTTTTTATCAACTCACAGTTTATCGGAGGTTCCAACTCAATTTATGGATGTGGTATTGTGTCAATAAATTTTGCACTATTGTTGGTGCCTCTTGTTCATGAATTAATGTGAATTGTCTAGCTTGTGAGTCTCCTCTGCTTGTGCCTATCTAGTTCCAGTAGAACAAAACATCTAATTAGACAATCTAGTAGGGTATTATTTGTTTTGGAAATGGATATTGCTGCATGGTAATTTGATGTTATTATGGTAACAAGGTGATTTTGTGTCTATTTAATATGGTGATATTTTTTTTTGCACTTAGCAACAAATGAGATCTTGAAACGGAAAGTGAACTTACCAGAATTCTAACCTTTTTTAGTGCATGATAGGGCATTAGGTTTCCTAGTGTTTACCGATTTTGATTTGGTACTCTTGTATTTCCCTGTGTAATTATTGTTACTGATGTAGCATTTACGGAAGTATTAGAGCTAAAGTAGAGGCTTCAATAGACCATGATAAGAGAGATAAAGTGATAAGCCAAGCAAGAAACCAGGGAAATACTCATCCAATGTTGTGATCGTTTGAATCTCAAGATATCCATGTTTGTGTCTTTTATTGCTTCATCATTAATGAGCAAGTAAATTTGGCATTTAGGTGCAAAAATTGTACAATAATTTAAGGTTCTTGTGATCATGGTTATCAGTTAAGGTGCCTTATGTTATGTCGATTGCTTAATCCTTCACTAAAGTTGTATGGCATAAGAGTTTATGTTTTGCTGGAGGGGTGAGCGAAATGTTGTAAACTCAAATTGCCATAATAGTGTCAAATTAGGCTACAGTAGGTTCCCTCTCGAGAGCTTTCCTTGTCTTACTGCTTTGAAGCAGTGTCTAATTTCTGCCTGCCTTTACAATTGCAGATTTCCTATGTATCTAGGTTAAGCCCATTTCGTTGTTGTAATACCCTGAATTTAAGTGAGGCTGTCTGTCTGTGATGATGTTGTAGCGAAGTTCTGAAGCAGCAAAGGACCTTGCACAAAAGGACTTGCACCACTTATCTATCTTTTCAGTGAAACAATACATATACCCTGGTGTTGTTTAGTTTGTGATGCAACTTAATGAAATACATTTCATAGCTGACTTATGCTTCTAAACTCATGAGTGTGCATGCATCCGCTGAAGAATGATATCTCATAGGTAGTCGCAAATTACAATAGAAGTATGATGAAAAACAACTTTAGAAACTTGTAGCAACTTGTTTCCGCACCTTCATACATAACTTGTGGCTTCACTGGATTCCTTGCATTGTAAAGAAGATTGTGGCCAAGAACTGCGTTGCTTGTTTCTGAATGTTCTACTCAGGTGCTGGCATTTTGGTGCTTTGCCAAGGTAAAATGTGGATTCTGTGATCTGTGTTTATTGGTGGTTTTGGATGTTAGACTCCCATGTTATTGCAGTCTCTTGATTCTGCTGTTTAAATGTGTTCTATGGTAGAAGCATGATTCGAAACCTACAATGCCTACGCCTCACCTTAATCTCAAAGTTTTTAGGAAATGGATCCTGTCATAGCTATATTATTGTTTATAATTGTTGAATCCCTTGGTTGGCTGATTAAGTCTGAAAAAGCGGTGCGCATATGATGGCTGTGGATGGATTTGGACATCGCCCAACTGGAAGTAAATCTTTATATTATAGTTTCCGCCTCTCTCTCTCTTGTTATAGGCGCTAGCGATGGTTCCCTTATTGCCGTCATGCGCTAGAGAAGTAGGAGTGACTATGGAAAATTATGCTATTATTCCATTAGCTGACTTTTGTGTTTTCGAAACCTTGAGCGGCAAAAAATAGAAAGACACCTAAGATTAGTGAAACATGCTGAACGTTTGTTAGCAATGATGACTAGTTAAAATAACATGGTTTTGTTGAATTTTGTCTGGAAATGAAAATTTTCCTTCTCTTGCACCGAACACGTAACGCGTCGTTGTCGTTCATTTCGCAATCAAATGCTACAAATGTTAAATAATAAGTATACATTTGAGTTCCAAGCGTACCAAATTCATTGTCTCATAGTACAATGAATTTGGTATTTTTAAGATTTGGTGTTATTGGACATCTAATAATCAACCCACATGGCTCATGTTTGATTGAAACTCTACTTGCGTACTTTACTCTCTCTTTTTTTAGTATTTCATTTTGTAGGCGCTCTGCTTAATCCCAATATTTTAAAATGAATTTTGCATTACAATACGAAAGAAAAGATATATGATTAATTGTAAATTTTAAGCTCAATTTGGCCGCTTTGTCTAGTCACCTTTGCTATGTAGTGGTTGGACATTGAGACAATAGGCTGCAGGCTGGGTGTTTGGTGAATGCCCTCTTGCCATATATTATTACTTTTTTTTTTTTTTTTTCAACAATGAGAAGAGTCAAGTCTTTGTAGGGTAGAAAGAAAGTTGTAGATTAATTTGGTATACTTATGGGTATGGATGGTTGGTCTTTAATTGAAGCAGGAAGGGATTCTTAGTTTTGGTATGTATTGTTAATTGCATAACTGTTTAAATACTAGTTTTCAGTTGTTCTATTTGCTTTACATTCGCCTGAAATCCCTTTCAAGAAATTCTCAAGTCATTGCATTATTGGTAGTATTTGTTTTTCATTAAAGCATTCAAGTAACACTTGGTAATCTTGTTTAATAATTTTAGTCATTTAATTCAAAGTCTAACCGTTTGATTAAAAGTCTTGTTAATTTAAGAAATGGGCGCAAAAAAATTCACGACATAATGAAAAAATTGAAAAGGTTTGTTTTTGCTCCAAAGCAACTTTGTGGTAATAAAGATGGAGCAATAATTGAAGATGAGGGAAGTAAAAGAAAACCATAACAAAGTAGTATTTAGCATAAAATATTGATGAGAGAACATGCCTAGTATGGGACAGCGACAAAGATTAATCACAGCTTCTAATGGTTTCTCTATTTATTTCTTCACCAATTTTATGAAGTAAAAAAAATTGATTGTTTACAAAATCGTCGGTTTCTTTGAAACGAACTCCTATAAAAATCCCTGCATACAGCCTCGATAATGGTTAGAGATTTATTTAATGAAGGAAACTTTATTTAATCAAACAATAACTTAAGTTACTCCATCTATGTAAAATATAACAAGGGGGTGTTTTTAATTCCACTAAGTCTCTTGCAGATGTAATAGATTAATGTTTTCGTCATCACTTTAATCAGAGTGAGGTAAGATTAGATTTTATTGATAGGAGTTCAAGATCTGCTGAAGAAGACTGAAAACTTTATTTAATTAAGCGTAGAGAAAGCTAGGCAGGCTAATCTCCACTCGCTTTCTTCTACCTCTAGTAATTGTTTCTTGCCTTCCCATGAATGAAGTTCAAGGATGCAATATGATCAATTTAAATTCAAAAGCCATTCAACCAAATTGCTGCAACCAGGAAACTGTAACGAAAGAAACGGATGGAAGTAACCGGAGATTCCTTTCTTCCCATAATTCTTTTCTAGGGCAGTATTTATTTTTATTTACCATCATTTGTAAAAGAGTGTTGCATAGAATTAATAGGAATATCAAGTTGAAATGGAAATATATAAACATAAATTAAATTATTCAAACGAGTTCGAAGAGTATCTAATGCCAAGACTTTTAAGCCCAACCAAAACGTCAAGTAACCTTTACCAATTAGTACAAGTCTACAATGAAATATGTTCAAAAGTATCAAATATAGCTCTCTTTTTTCTTTTTTCTTTTTTAATTTTTAATTCATTCAGTAGTAAAAATGTGTACGTTTTTTACATCTCCAAATTAATCTTCTCTGAGCACACTTAAAAGACATTTTTTTTTTAATTTAGGTGTTTTGAGGATAAATTATCAAAATTACTGATAAAAAAATCAAATCTTGAACCTTATTTACAAATCAATATTTATTTATGAACAGATTATTACCTTATTGTTTAGCATTTTATTTTATGTCATCGAATTTAATCACATTTTGTTTCCAATATATGAAGAGATCTCCAATGATATTGTTATATATTCTGAGATTATTGTAGTTGTTGGATTATTGCGTGAAGGAAACGATTACTTGAATTATGGAAGCATAACATAATTCAATTCAACAATTATTATATATTTTTTTAAAAAAATTAACTATAGCAATATGTTGTTGGATTTTCTCCATCAAGCAAAGAAGCCTTTCAATTTTTATTTTTTTGCAATGTTTCGATTTATTAGAAAATTATTTAATCTCGTGGTGGTTCAAGCGGGCCTAACCATTGGCCACATTAGCGTTCTGTTTTGGTATAAGATTATAATCACATGATTAACTTGCCAAATCTATGGTATCTACAAGGCTAAGGATCTGAATTCTAAAGAGATGGAGACACAAATATAATCATATATTTTTTTCCGAACGAACAAAGGTAAATATCTGGAGACACAAAGGTATCCAAACTTGTAATTAGGAAAGCAAGGTATCTCCATGTCTTGAAACAAAGAGGAAGCTTTCAATGCATGCATTGCAACTCGCTTGGAAGGAGAATTTTAGAGCTCGCTATTACATTGCTACTCTGCCAGGTATTGTTATAGCTTCATCCCTGCAACATACAAATCCATCGATGGCATTGCATGCTTTAAGTCTATGTACCTATTAGATGGACATTGGTGATTGTTCAAGTTAAAAAGATCTTAGTTCAAAACCACAGAATTCATATACAAAAATTGTCCAACGATGTCAATCTATATCTAATCATGCTTTCATTCTTATCTTGCAAGCCTTTAAGTAGGGTTCCCATATATATATATATATATGGAAGGTGTCACACTATGTCTCTTTTTTGTTTCAAATCCAATTAAATTGAAGAATATGTTCCAGCTAAATTTAAAGTACATATGCATATCCTAATGTAGAAACATGCAAAACATTTTGGGGAAGCTATAGCTGGAGAAAAGGAAAACAAAAAAAGACACCCCACCCTGTCACGGGCT